GTGGGTTCTTTAGCTGGTACTAGGTTTTGAAGAACAAGACTGTTAAGTTCTTGCTTGGCTTTGATTGCTCTGATAACTTTTTTGAGAAGATCAATTTCTATTTGAAGATTCTAAAGGGTCAATGGCTTAGTAGGTTTAGAAGGAAATCTATTAGGAATGTCTATGAGATTACAGGTTTTGAGGAGTCTTGGGTTTTTGGTTAAAGGATTTGAAGAGGTTGAAACTTGGTTTAGGGATTCTTTGAATTTGTTCAGGTAAAGTTGTTTTTTTTTCTATTTCAGGAATATGATGTCTAGGAGAAGATTTTGGTCTATGGTTAACACATTGACTATAGGACCTTCTTTTTCATCTTCATCACTAGTAGTTTGGGAAGATGATGAAATATCATCTTCCAACTGATTGACATAGTCTTCTTCTCATTCAGAATCCTCAGTATCTGATTCAATTAGAAGGTTTGATATTTAGGTTTTGATCTGGTCTTCTAATCCTAGAGTATTGATTTTTTGGTTGAATTTGCAATATCGGGCTATGTGTCCAGGTTTGTAACATTTGTGACAAATATATATATATATATATATATATATATATATATATATATATATATATATATGTGTGTGTGTGTGTGTGATTTGTGCAAAGACATATTTAGCATTCCTTTCATTGTCTTTGATTTGCATTCTTTTTTTTTTTTTTAATGTTATTCTACTTCCTTTCCCTTAATAGAAATCTAATAAACTCTTCGAGTGTTAATTGATTTCTTTCATTGATAGAAGAATCATTTGAGATTCTTATAAAAGTGTAATATTTGGAACTCTCTATGATCATCATTTTTTGTTGTTCTATGCAATTGTTATTATCTTTTTATTCAGGCAAATGTTTATTTACCAACTTGCTATGTTTCTATTTCTTATTACAATGATGTACTAATCTTTTGCTCAACAAAAAGTGGGAGAAATATCATGTAAAATTTTAGGAGTGGGTCATTAAAAGGTAATTAGATAGGCCACACCCATCTAAAATTATATTCATTTATGACTCATCTATTTTGAATCATTGATTAAATAGGTATATATGGGTTGACCCAATTATAACCTAGCCAAACTTACACGAATCACCTATTTTGAAAAGCTCTATCCCATCCCATAACTATGGGTCCACCTCAATTGTAGTCATAGATCAGCCTCCCTAATGCTAGTGCTATCTTTCCACTCCTTGCATTATTTACAATCCATTACCTCACTTTTCAAGTGTTTTTGATAAACTAAAAACCTAGAATTTCACTCCTAGAGAAAAAGTAAGCTCTTGGATGTAAATTGTCTGAAATACTACCAATTCCGGTATTTCTCTAGAAACAGGCATCCAAGGATAGTTTTTTAAACAAATATTTCATATAAAAGGTTTGCTAAAATACTCCCAAAAACCACCATCTAATGCACCTTTATTGATTTAAATTCACATCTATATTTTGTTTTATATGCAATTTTTTGGTGTACATGTGCTATATGAAAAATGATCTAGGTGCTTGCATGATATTAATAATGAGTTTATTCTAAGCTCAAATAAACTGTCAAAACCATTAGTTATATACTCCAAATTTAATGGCAAAGCATAACTTCCAATATTAATAATATAAATATCAGTCAGTATTTCAAATGCTAGATTTTTAGAAATATAAGATTAATTAAGAAAAGTGTATAAATGCAAGGGAATTAATTAGAGAAACTGTATAAATGTAAGAAAAAGTAGTAATTGTTAATGTTTGTATATACATAATAGGTTGAGTGGAACGTAGATATGTTAAATAGTGCCTATAGGACACATGTTAGAAAAATTCTATAAATATTTAGAAAAAATAGACCTAATGAATAAGTCCAACTTTAAAAGTATAAAACTTGGACAAAACAAGTCTGTTGCAATGTTCTAAGCTTGCTAAATACGAAAAAGCTGAAGAAAATTTCTTTACTTTATAATTATATCACTTGCTACCATTATTCACCATTAGAATGTAGGTATGAAATTTTGGATTCTGCTACAAGTGTATTTTAATACAAAGACATGAAATGAGTCAAAAAAAAATTTTCTTTTAATGTAGAAAAACATATTTACATATTTAAGTCAAAATTACTGAAAAAAAGTTTGGAATATTAATAGTTAGTTTTCCTGTTGATTTGAATGTATATTTTAATTTTCATAATCTGCTAAGTTGCCTTCAATTTTGGTGTTGCCAAATTAAATGATTTGGAATATTGTCTCCTCGCGGATCCATAGACTTCAGGCAAGTTTGGTGGATTTGATGAAACAAATCAAATATACAAAGAGAATGAATGCAATTTTTTTGAATTGATTGAAATTTTGCTCTCATAGACACATATGGCTATTGACTTACATTGATTCAAAAAATATATTGTAAACGGAATTCGTATGTACTGACCTAGATTTTTGTTGAAAAAATATATTTTACCATTGATGTGCTAATTTGCAATTTCTTGCAACTAAGGACAGGCCTATGGGGGCCTCCAATTTTTAGATAATTTGCTTTTGCTATCATAGAAAATTGAAAAATTTTAAAGATTTTCTTTAAAAATTGAAGCTTTAGCCTCTACAAGTTCTAAAAAGTAAAAACTAGATTTTGCTTCCACAGAAAATTGAAAATTTTAGAGATGCTCTTTAGAAATTTAAACATTTTTCTCCATGACAACTTCAAATTATTTTATGTTATATACTTAAATTTAGATTTGTTAAAATCCACTAAATTTTCTGATTCCATCTAAGCTTGCAACTTATGTGTATCAAATTCAAAATATAACATATACAATATAACTTTTTATTATAGTTTTGTAGTAAATAGCTAATTTTGTTTTCATACTCGATTCCTAATCTATTTATGCTGTTCCAAACTTCCTGTTTACTATGTCTCAAATTAATAAAAATTGGAAGGATTCGCAATCTTTATGCTAGCAGCACTTTGTTTCTTTTATTGTAGTCATCTTCACTTATTTACATTTTCTCTTTTTTTTTTTTGAAATAATTAAGCTTAAGTATCTCCACTTTAAATCTGATTTATTTCATAGTGACAAAAATTGTGAAAAGACAAATGTACTTAAACTGACATTTATAAATAATTATTTATAAATGTACTTAAACTGACAAAAATTGAATCTAAACAAACTTTTGTATAACTCTAAATAATTATTTATGCATTTAATTGTAAACTCTGTATCATTTACTTGTCTCTATGTCAATTGGCACAATATAATAGATCGAGCATCCCATGTGCGAGTTGTATAAAATATATGTAACTGTTCGCTATCTTATATGCCGATCGCATATCTCATATGTCAACCGTAATTCATGCTAATATCTTATATAACCCAATTTCTGATATAAAATAGTAGAAAAAGAGAGTGATTAGGAAAAAAAGTTGAAGATGTAAAAAAAAATGATTACATTCCCTTTGAACTATTTGAAGTTTATGACCAAAGATTTATATGGCAATTGACAATAATAGAGAAATATATATATATATATATATATATATATATATATATATATGTGGAAATGGGGCGAGTTCACGGCTGTGATTTTGGCCCAAAAATTTGTGCGGCTCAGATCACATGTGGTAACTCGATTTTCACATCATGTGTGGTCCCACAAAAAAGTGTTCTAAAATTACGCTATGTATAAAGAAAGTTACACCGTGTGCTACCGATGTTACGTGCAGTGCAAAATGCACACAATTGGTACAAACGGTTACACCTGCAACCGTTTGTGCCCCTTGTCCATATATATATACACACACCAAGGATTTCTGCATAACAAGGTGTCAATCTAGTTCCCCCGCTTAAGAAATTGCACTTTTCCCATTTATATGCTCATTGACAAACTGTACAAATTCTATAATAGCTATAGTAAAACGCAAGTACTATCCATTTTGAAAAGTAAATGGGCGTGGACTTGGATTTTTAGCTCAAAACTTGGACAATATTACTTGTCTAATAAAGTCTCTCGTAAGATTTTTTAGTGAGAGACCTCTATTTCTCTTATTTCTAGTGAGAAATTTTTGCTTTCCTAGGAATTTCTAGTGAAATTTTTGTATAGTATTTTTTCTTATTTAATTAAATTCAGATCTGGAATTTTTTTTGCATCTTAGGTCTATCTTGATGGATTTCAATCATTCTTAGAGTTAAATAGTTGATTAGCAAATCTCGCAAAATTAACATACACTTATTAGAAGAGATTTGAATTTCTTATGTTTTTAAGATATATTCATAATTTCTTTTAAATCCAGTGTATTTGTTAAATTGCTGTTATTTTTAATGCATATTTAACATGCCATTAGTCCGTGATATGAATCAAATCATGCTAAATAATTTTTTAGCAATCTCATTAATGAAATTTACTTTTCATTCAAATGAAAAATGAAAAGCCCTCAACAAGAGGTTGTTGTCTGCCTACCCATAGTCCTAACTCCTTTAAGCTGGATCCGGCCTCACCCATCCATTTCAGAGCAAAATGGTCATTTGGTGAACACTGGTTGTTTGAAATGGAACTTGTTGGGCCCGGCCCTAGCAGCTTCCTCCCTTTAAACTCGCACTCTGACGTCTGAACATAAAACTTGCATCAGTGGCATGCTTTGCATGACTGCTTTATGTTCTTTCCAACAATTGCTTCCTCTTTCTCCTGCATGTAAGTTCTCTCATATGCCCAAAATGCAATTTTGGAATCCCAAGATTTCCGCTGTCAACTTCACTGAATAATTACTGGGGTTTTGTCTTACATTGTTCCGTTTCATTTTAATTTGTCTTTCTTGAAAATCCCCAAAAAGAAAAAAAATTCTTGAGATTCACAGTATTCCCTCCTGTCACATGCGCCCATTACCATATCATGATAAGCATAATTTCTACAACCATTCATTACTTATTTAGAGGAAAAGAAACGAAATCTTGGGTTTCCCTTTATTCATCTTGTATTTCTTTTCAAAGTTTCCTTTCATTGCATGAATTCGCATGTATCTAGTTGTCAGACTGGCTTCCAATCAGTTTTGTGTCAGCCATAAATTTGTTACCATATAGCCTCATAATAATGGATGTGTATTAAAATATGGTTTTGTAGATTAGTTCAGTTCATTGGGCTCAATGGGAATCTGGGGAAGTTCTCCTGCGGCCATGTGTTCAGTGGAGGAGCGTTGCGCGGAATGGGCAGCCAAGTACATGGAATATTGCCTTTGCAGCACAAAGGATTGGGTTTCATTCATATTGGGATTGATAAGTTTAATGAGTTGGGCTGTTGCTGAAATCCCTCAGATCATCACAAACTACAAGCAAAAATCTGCTGAAGGCCTATCTCTTGCTTTCCTCATCACATGGGTAGTAGGGTATGCATTACCTAACGCATCTGTTTCTGTTTTTTTTTTTTTTTGGCTTTATTTTGTAAATTTTGTTCAAGGTTACTAGAAACTTAGGATCAAATTTAACCAAAAATCATAGAATAATACTACAGAGCTTCATGCTGGGTTTGTTCTCAATTGGCTTCTGATTTTCAGAAGATTTAATCAGAAGCCAAGACCTGCTTCTGATTTCAGCTGTGGGTTCAAAAGAGTTATATTGCTTACAGTGTATATGGGTCCCCCCTTGATTTCCTTTTATTTCTTCTCTGTTGAATGTTTGATATACATTTTCTGTTGTAGTTTGTGGGCCTATTTGGACGTTGTGGTCAATTCATGATACATATTTGATCATAAGTTTGTTGGATGAAAATTGGAACATTACACTTGGAGGACCAATTCATGGGCATTCCGAATCTTGGCTTACAGAATTTGGACTCGGCTAAGAAATTCTTACAGGGTTTTTTTAACGTATTGCAATTGATCTAGATGTAGTTAAAATTCAATGCAAGTCACTAAGTTTACTTTATACCAAAGGAGGGCTGGGGATCCCTTCCATTTAAATGAAATTTCTAGGCAATTAATTGATAAGTTTTTAAAAGCTGACCATCCGGATTTTGGTCCAAAAAAGTATTACTTTCAATAAGTAGCACTCTCTTTTGATAGCATGTGATACAAAACTTTGTTTAAGTTGTATTTGGTCAAACTTTGTGTTAGTTTCAAAATAACTGAAGAATTTCAACTTCTTGTTTTACCATTTTTTAGATGGCAGAGTGTAAAAGAATCAGGACTAATTTCGGAGAATTATCTGGCACAGTATCAAGAAATACATTGCTGATCATGTTTGTCTTAATGTCTTATTAAGTTCTTGTGAGAACTGATATCATCATATTCGTTGATTTTTGTTAGTCAAAAACTAGTTTTTGTTTACAGTTTATAGGCCTTTCGGATGGTCATACAGATTGACTTGAGGCGGCTTTAGCTTAATGAGTTTTGTAATCTTGATTTTTTGAGTATTATAAATGAAGTTTGTTAATGGCTCATAACCAGGATGCAGAGGATGTGGAAGGTCTCAAAAGTAACTCCATCCATATTCTGTAGATGATTCTGTGTTATGGTTGATAAACATTTGAGTGAGAGTTATCAGCTATTCAATTAGTTCATCAGCCTTTTCTGTATTATTATCTTTTCTGGGCAGTTGAGTGGGAGATATCAGCAGTATGTCTAACATTTCTAAACATTTCACAGATTTCCTTAATCTGTTCAAGTTCATTACAAACATAAACTCCTTCTTGCCTGGTATTCAGTCTCTTTCGTTTTGCTTCAACCAGTTTTAATGATAGCTAGTTTAGAATCTTAAACTGTTCAAAAGTAAAGGAAGTAATCTCATTGATTGTTGTTTTAATAAGTTTGTCTCCTGATTACAATATGCTTTTTTTCTTCTTGGTCTTATAACAGAATACATGTAAATATATGTTTGATCACTGAAATGTCCTTTTAACTTTGGGTAGAGATCTATTGAACCTCTTTGGCTGCATACTGGAACCTGCTACTGTAAGGCATTCTTCTAACAGCAAAACTAATATGCCATTTATCTTTTCCTCCTTAAATTGCGATGGCTACTCCATCCCTCTTAGAGCAGCTAGAGCTGAAAGAAACAACTTAAGATCAACTACAGAGTTGCTAATATTACAAAGGTATTAAGACCCCCCCCCCCCTCTCTAGGCATTGAAATTTTTACTTGTCATTTTGTGAAACAAGAGATATTTTCACTTATGAAAGGTCTTGTTCCTTTTCTTTATGGTTTTTTGCTAATAATGGCCACTTGTATCTCAAATTTGGAACTGCTTTAGTTAGATAACATGAAATATAAATAAGGTAAACAATTCCTTTTTATGTCCTTTAGACGATTTTCTCCTAAAGTACGAAATTCTTAAAAATCATAAAGAAAATTAAAAAGATAGAGGAAATTTTGAGCAAAGAGAATTAAATCATTAGGTGATTTTCTGTCATCCTCAAGGATAGTAATAGTTAACCACGTGCAAGAGAATTTAGCATGTTATAGCTCTTGATGCTTCAGTTTTACAGACAATGTGCCATGCTGTGGATATGTTCTAGTATATCTAAATCTAGGATCTCAATTCCTAAGTGGTGAGGCGAGATATATCATATTAAAATCAGAGTGAAGGTTCATCCTTGACTAAGAGCTGTCTAAGACTTCAACTTTAGTACCTGAACCAGAGTCAACTTTAGTTCATTGATGAAGAAACCTGGATATGTGGGTTAGTGGCATTGAAGATTTCAAAGTTTTTGATAAAAAATTTTTCTACTGAAGAATCTAAATCTAATTTATGGAATATGGAGTATACTGGGTGTGATCTTTAATTAAATGTGTTACTTCAAGACTGGACTAACTTGAATGAGAAGGTGGCTTCCAAATGACAAAAAAAAAAAAAAACCAGAAACAGATCAGATGTGATGAACATTGTAATGTATTCAGTTCAATCATTTCATGTTCTATTGAATGTTTTGTCTGATTCGAAACTTTTCTGTTTTACAACCTTATGATGCATAGTTTCATTGAGAAGAGAAAGTAACTGAATTTCTTCTGCTACAGATGATTCATCTTCTGAAATTTCTGTCTCTTCTTTACTTTAAAAGCTTGAATATATTAAGTTGAGATGCAAAATTGGGTGGTGATAACCATTGCTTTTATTGAAAGAAGAAACTATATGATTGTTGTTGCTTTTGGCCTGTAACACAAGATACATACAGCACACTTATAGTAAAGAGCATTGCATGAACCTATGTTAAAGTAAAGGAATTGACAGGGTGATAAGATCCATTTTAATCTGAAAACATAGAAAGGTTGTGATTATATGCTAGGTCAATTTTGAAAATAAATTCAACTCTGCGAACTAGTATGTTTATCTAAATTAGTGGTAGGTATTTAATCTTAAAAAGAAGGCTCGTTTGATCTTGAAAAAATTCAATTCCACACTACTTGTTACCTGAAAAGATATCTTTTTTTTTTTTAATCTACAATGGCATGGAGCTCAACACTATGAGAATTTGACTTGTTTATTTTAGTTGGTTCTGTGAATGGGAGCTCGATGGCTAATAAAAACTAATAGTAACTCCATTTGTTGGTTTTACAGCTTCCAAAACAATACTACATGGCAATGGTAAGATTGATCTCTAAGCTTTCCCCCTATTTTTCTGTAAATCTATAGTCCTCTGTAGGATAATATATATGACCACCACATAATCTTTTGGTTTGTGTAGTTATATACATTTACAACATTGATTGTTGCTGGGCAAACCATATACTATGGCTACATCTATTATCGCCTGAAACCTTATAAACGTTCTCATGAGGTATGGCACTTTTATCCTTCCATTATTCGATTATGGGTTTTGTAAGTTTTACACATGCTCTATAGTTCCAGAACAATGATGGGCTTCCAGGGAACTAATAAAATTTGTCAAGACATGAGGAAGTCCTTTTTAATGCTTGAAAGAGAGGAAATGTGTAGTATGCAATTTAAATTCTTCTTTCAGGGATTGTAACAGTTCACCGTGAAACTTCTCAATTGGTGCAATACTGCAGCTCATCTGAGTAGAAGACATAGGATGAGAGCACATTTATCAAATACATTGGACTTTTTTCGTTTAAGCCAACTGAGTTGACAGAGAGGAAAAAATCCCATTCCCAAGAGGAGCAATTAACAGAAAAGAAAAAAAAAAAAGAAATCATTCACAGGAATAGGGAAGGAATGCCAGAAAGATGTCTGTAGAGAATAGGCATATGTCTGAAGATGTTCAAGACCAAGACAACTTTGTGAAACTAAAGTTGTGCTCATTAACGAGTTGGGGGTGCTTAATCTTTTCAGATTTCTTATTCTCTGAACTTGTTAGCAAATATTTGGAATATCTCATAACAACAGATACCTTCCCATCATGCAAAGGCACCAATTTAATCCTGAAAGGAAATTCTCTCAGATGCATACTACATCATGTACTATAGATTCCAGGAAAAGTTGGAATATAAAAAACTAATTCTTAATAAATGGCCATAGATTGCTAATTTATAGGTTTTGGCTTGTTCTCAGTTGGTTATTTTAGCAGATTATAAATTCTGATTTTTGATAATCAGTTTTTTGGATGTTCTCATTTTCCTTTCTATTTAGATTGTAGATCCTTTAGTAGCCAAAAAAGCTAAAATCCATAATCTAACAAAGAGTGGATTTTGTTGATTTTAATTATTCTCTATAATCACTTTCCATAATCAAGTTTAGCAAAATGTAAAGCAAACAAGAACGAGGCCTTTGTAAAACTTATTTATTGCAGATAAAAAGTTACCACTAAGAGACTTCACCTTTTGCATCTCCAAGTTTGTCAAATTTTGTGATATGAGGACCATTTCTTGAGAAAATTTTCATATTATCTTGTATAGCTAACTCAAGTTTCAATGTGATAGTTCATGAGGCAAATCACTGTTGTGATTGCTTCCACAACTTTATCAATAAGTATATTTCCTTAATGGTTATGCCAGTGCATTTTGTTCATGTCTCTCCCTCCCTTCACGGCATCAACTGTAAAGCACCATAGGTGTTGCCTAAATGGAGAGTTAAGTTTGGAAAATAAAAATTTTCTGACTTTTGTCCTTAACAAATGGCAAAGAAATAGTACTTGCAAATTGCAACAACTTTGTCCAACATTAACTTAGTTTCAAGAAGTGAAGATTTTCCATGTGCACAGAAGGATTGATTGAATTCCAATGTGCAGTTTGAGTGTGTGCAATTGGTAGTAAGCCTCTCCATTGATATCTTATATTTAGTTTGTTATCTTTGAGTGGAATATTGTGGTTTTTTGAAACATAGGGGGCTCAAATTTGTGGGATTTACATGAAAGCATATGAAGAAGTGGCATATTCATAGAACATATGTTTAGAGGCCATTTTTGAGGTGTTATGTTGTCATTGTTTATGTTCTTGTACCTGAACATTGGGAAGAAATGACTGGTTATGGATTCAAGGTTCTCACTTGTTGTGGAAGCAATGTGCATAACTAGCATGCTCTTTCTCCTATTAATGGAACATGTAAATGGAGTTCTATGAGCAAATTGTAGATTTTTAAGAGATCTTTGAAATCTTAATCCAGAAAGAGGTTGAGGAGATCATACAATAAATTTTGGGGATATAAGCTGTATTTAACTTGGTGCCTTTCACTCCAGGAACATGTTAAGCATAGAGAAGAAAATAGTATGAAGTATCATAGGATGCCTGAATAAGTATTTGGTATGCTTAAACTGATATGCAGCAATGTTTTGATTTCCTGACACTTGATCAAAAGATTTCTTTGTTTAGTAGTTTTGTACTTCATTCAATTACTACTAGCTTGCACTTTTTTTGCAACCTGGAAATGTGCTGAGGCTTAAGAAAGAAATGGAAGTGGAATACTTTGGATATCTATTTTTGTGGCTGACAAGGATAGGACACGGGTACGACTCTTTGAAAAAATATTACTATGCTTCACATATTTGAGAATCTGTTTCGCTTGGTAGCAACCCTGTGCAGAAACTCAAAGGTCAACTCTTTCTACATTGTAAACTTAAAAAAACCTGCCACTAGCCATACGAAAACTGAGACCTGTTATTCCATTTTAGTTTGATATGAGAACAAGCACTACGGTCTGCAGTCTAAAAAGGAAGAGGTACTACTACAAGAAGACGGGTTTGTATTCCTTATTCTATTAGCCATTCATTTTTCCTTTCCACCTATTACTGGAAGCACGTCTAAGAATTTATTCAATGCACAATAATAAATTAGGGAGCAGTTAAGGCTTCTGCAGGATGCCACTTATAAGTACTGTATGGACAGCAAACACACGTAGGTCCATGTTTGTTCGGCCCAACCAGAAATAAACACAAGCTGTCGAACCTGGGGGTGGAATTGGGAAGTCAGTGTGCATTTTCAGTGCACTATCAAAGACCCGAGCATCGTGTGCGCTTCCCTCCCATCCGGCATAGACATACACAAAGTGCATGTCATGGTCACATACAGCTAAAACGTTCTGAGATTGGATCCCATGTCTATTAGTGTAGGCCATTTGCTCATTTGTGGGCACCGAAGCAGGGATATGAGTGCCATCCATAGCGCCAATAGCATCCTGCATTTTGTTCGAGTAAATCAACTGGTCATTGACATGTATCATTTGCAAATCGTGAAACCTTCAATTAAAAAATCAGACAGTGGCTATTACGAACTTCTAAAGCAGTAGTTTGGTAAATATAAGCACCATAAGCATGACTTGGTTTCGTCTATTAGTGTGAAAGCAATATATGTAAATATTTGCATGGAAATAGCCAGCTTTTTCGAAAAAATAAATGTTTGAGGAGGTATCCCAACATTAACCTTAAACCAAGGATAATACTTGGTGCTATATCGTATTCTTGGATGCACGTCATTTGTTTCTCTTGGTCGAATAATCCTTTGCGCAAATCTACACAGTCCCAACAACACTTCCGCTACATTTCTGTGTATGGTTTCAGTGGAGTGTTGAAATCTCTCCGCCACTACTCGGGTACGCGTGCTATGGCTCAACATGACTAGAGTCATAGCCAGTGATTCCTCAATAGACACATGCTTGTGTGGATTTTGCGGGACGTAGTTATTTTGAACCAGAATGTCACAAAGTCTCATGAAATTGTCAACCGTTATTCGACAATTCTCCAATATGCGAAGTGGGTGACCAAGGATTAGCTCTTGCACCCACTTCCAACCAGGCATATCTCCAGTTCGGCAGGGTACTTTGATAAGAGGCCCATCATATTGTTCAGCTTTAGGTGCAAATAGCAAAATTGCTGCACCATTGAGAATTGCCTCATCATCATTCTCAGAAGTGGTGCCATACGAAGTTGAGAAGTTTGGGATGAAGTTTGCCATGTAGGAACAGGACAAATGTTGGTTACGGTTTCGTGAATGGGAAAGCAGGGAAAAAAATCAAGGACTTACTAGTGGAAGAGAGATATACCAAGTTTTGGAAAGCTGGTGAAAGAGAGATGGTTGGTGGATGTCTGTTGCATGGTAGGACTGTATTCTCGCCTGATTCTAAAGGGCGAGAATGGACATGAATTTGAAAAAAAAACTGATGCAACCAAGGTAATTGGGATGCACATGGGATCAGAGTTGTCTGTACCCTCACTCGTGAAGTTATTCTCTTACAAGTCCCCTCTTTTAAAGATGTATAAGGCCCCGTGAATTAACAGTAGCTATCTAAAAAAGCTCACCTTTTGATAAGAGTAAACTTCATAAAGACCTACAAGAATGGAACTATTCTTGACAGTGTGCACTTTAAACACTTTGAGAATATCTCATTTGTTCATATCAAAAGATCACACATATCGGGTACGTTGGAGTTATTCTCTTTATATGCACAAGATTCGGGTTTCACACATTATTGTCCTTAGAAGTCCCGTTGCTGTAATCATCCAGACATATGTTTATCTCACATAAAGGCAATTTTTTCCAATTCTTTTTTTTATTGAACCAGAGAGTATGCTACTCTCAAGTGCTTTGAAAAATATTCTATCTAATAAAACAAAAACAACACCTAAGCTTTTTCATAAGGTGGGAAGTGAGCATGTGCTTCATCTGCTCAAAAACGTGAGGAGGCAATAAAATCAATTTTTCAGGATTTGTGTTGTTCTTTCCATGCCTATTGGTTTGACGTATGCAAATGTCCCAGTTCCATAATGGCTGCACCGAATGTCACCTATGAGTTATGCAAAATAATTGGGAAGTGGAGACGCATCACATAGTGGAGAACGTGAGGCTCCCAATTCCAATTCATTGAGGGCCCCTGATGAAGTTTTTACCGTAATGAATAAACCCCTGTCTTACACATAAACTTGCACTAAATTAATAAAAGTATGGAGGCTGTAATTAAAGAATAAACAGAGAGTAGCCCGAGCATGATTGGATTGAGTCAATGAAATATTCAAGATAAAAGGCTGTTGTTTGTAAAATAGCAAAGAGTTACCACAGGCTTTCACTGTGTATTATCAGTAGTATTTACTAGCAGATACACAATCCAACTTGATCATTGACACCATAAATTAACATTCCTATAGACCATCTGCCTATGGATTGTTGCCTGTTGTTGAGAATGCGAAAAATTTAAAGGACATCAGCCTGTAAACTCTAGTCTTCTTTCTTGATATTTCATTTTCAGAAAAGGTTCAGCTTTTAAAAGTTTAGCCCAAAAGGTTCGAGGGCCCGAGATGGTCGCCAACTTGGCATTGAAGAGCTATTGTAGTACTTCAGTTAGGCTTAAATGGCAAAGAGTTAGCATGTAATGCTTGAGTTAGGCGCTACATAGTAGTACTTTAGTCCCAAAAAATTGAATTGAAGCATGTAATATGAAAAGCAGTCGACTTTTCTATTAAGAAAATGCAGCAAATCCTTTATAAAGAAATTCCTTTTCAAGCTTAAAATCCAGGTAATACACAAATCCGAAGAGGCCTACTCCTCCATTTCAACTCCTCCTTCAATAATGCATAAGGAGTTGCTTAATGGCCTGAGCCTAGTACCTCACAACTTCTGCAAGCAGAATGGATACAAGAATAAACAAGAGGAAGCTTAGGCAAAATGAAGCAAAAGAATTCAGAAGAAAACATACTTATGGTTCTAACCATCTCAAAAGAAGAAAAAACAGCATGCAACTACTTACCAAATAAAAAATTTCTA